TTCCTGCTGCAGGACAGGAAAACTGAACCTGAGAATTCTGTATGAAACCAGGACCCTTGAAGAGAACTGAAACAGTCCCCAGTTAGTAAGCCTGGTGGCTCCCAGCAGAGATAGATGCAAATCCTCTCTGAAGAAAGCGATCCTAATTCAGGTTCTCAGGTTTTCCACTTAAAAAATTAAAAGATAATAATAAGGAAAATGATACACTATGAATGAGAACACAAAAAACAAATTTACATCTCTAAGGTTTTAGGATATTGACATGATCAAAAACAGAATATAAGTATATTTGGAGACTGACTTCTGGGAAGATGGAATAGACATACTCTTCCCTATTCCTTTAGTTAAGTACAACTGAAATCCCTGAACATTATATATAAAACAAGCAGAACAGCTAGAGACCTTAGGACCCAAGGCATGACATGGTGCTGAATTCCCTGGATTTTCTTTTGCCTCATGCATCTCAGACTTCTAGCTGAAGAAGCCAGCAACCTGAAAGCACCAATGAGCATAACCAGAGATGAAAAACAAACAAACAAGAAAAGCTGCTCTCTAGCCAAAGGACTGGGAAATGGACAGTCTAGCCAGATAAAACTTAGAGAATAAGTGCTTTACCCCAGCCAAACACCATGGAGAAAAACTATGGAACCCTCACCTCCACCCAAGCCAGCAAAAGTTCAAGCGGGAAGCCTGGACTTCCGCCCTTGCCAGGTTGTAACAAGGCACCCTAACCCTGTCCCCCACCACCATTGCCAGGGTAGTGTCAGAAAAGGCTGAGTAGGGAGCTGCCCAGCAGTAACAATCACTCCCCTTCCACCCCCAGTAGTGTCAGTGGAGACCATGTAAGGAGCCTGTACTTAAAACCCCATCTGGCAGTAACAAGGTGCCCCTCCCTGTCCCTGCTGGGTGGTGTCAGAGGAGGCCAAGTGACAGATTAGGACTTTATCACCCAGTGGTAACAAAGCCACCCTTCCCTGTGGTGTCAGTGAAGGCCAGGTAGGGGGCAGTAATGAGGCATTCCTACTCCTCCCAGCCAAGGAGGTATCTGTGGAGACCTAGTGGGAAGCTGAGACTCCTACCTCCCCTCAGTAGTAACAAGGTGGACCCTCCCTTGGGTGACACCAGAAGCTGGGTGAGAACCTGAACTTCTACCTCCATTTAGCAGTATCGAGGCAGTGGCCCACACCTTCCTCTGCTGGAATGGTTTCAGAGTAATCCGGCTAAAATAGGAGATTTCAATAAGATCCAGAGTCTCATAATTTCCAAAATGTCCAGGCTTCAACTGAAAAATCACTCATCATTCCAAGAACCAGGAAGATCTCAAACGAAATGAAGAAAGACAATCAGTAGCTGCCAAAACAGACAATGACAGATATGTTAAAATTATTTGACAAAGATTTTAAAGCAGACATCATAAAAATGCTTTAGTGAGCAATGAGGAATGTGTTTGAAACAAATGAAAACACAAACATTCTCAGTAAAGAAACAGAAGATATAAAGAAGAACTAGATGGAAATTTTAGGACTGAAAAATACAGTAAAATTACAGTGAAATTAAAAACTCAGTGGATGGGTCCAACAGCAGAATGGAGGGAACAGAGGAAAGAATCAGTGAACTGGGAGACAGAACAATAGAAATTAACCTTGTCCGAAAAGCAGAGAGAAAACAGGCTGAAAAACAAAACAAAACAAAACAAAACAGAGCCTTAGGGACCTGTGGGGATATAACAGAAGATCTAACACTTGTGTCATGGGAGTCTCAGAAGGAGAGGAGAGAGGACCGGCTGAAAGAGTGACCAAAGAAATAATGGTTTAAACATTCTGAATTTGGCAAAAGCCACAAACCTACAGATTAAAGAAGTTTAATGAAGCCATGACAGTCTCACACATGATTTAACCTAACAGACACCTAACTCCCAAGTTTGTGGGTGGGATTAGCAATAGTGTACCTAAAATGCCCAGCACAATGGCTGATATACAGCTGTTGTCTAATAAATAGTAATTAACATTTAAAAAGAAAAGAAAAATCTGAGTGAACTCCAAACATAAACCCAAAGAAATCCACACCAGACACATTGTAGTCAAACTTCTGAACACTAAAGACAAAAATTCTTGAGAGCAGCAAGTAAGAGATGATACCTTACCTACAGGAGAAAAACAATTTCAATTGCACCAGATTTCTCATCAGAAACCAGGGAGACCAGAAGGAAGTGGCACATTTTTCAAGTGCTGAAAGAAAAGGACCGTCTACCCAGAATCTGGTGAAAATAGCCTTTGAGAATGAAGGGAAAAATCAAGACATTCTCAGATGAAGGAAAACTAGGAGAATTTGTGGCCAACTGACCTACCCTAAAGGAATGACTGAAGGAAGTTCTCTTAACAGAAAGGAAATGATAAAAGAAGGAACTTGGAAACATCAGAAAGGAAAAAAATAACATGGTAAGCAAAAGTATGGATAAATACAATAGAGTTTCCTTCTCTTGAGTTTCTTACATAATGGTTGAAGCAAAAATTAAAATATTGTGAGTTGTGGCTCTGAATATGTGTAGAGGTACTATTTAAAACAATTATAGGGGCTTCCCTGGTGGCGCAGTGGTTAAGAATCCACCTGCCAATGCAGGGGACATGGGTTTGAACCCTGGTACTGGAAGATCCCACATGCCACGCAGCAACTAAGCCCACGCTCCACAGCTACTGAGCCTGCACTCTAGAGCCTGTGAGCCACAATTACTGAGCCCACGTGCCACAACTACTGAAGCCAGTGCGCCTAGAGCCCATGCTCTGCAACAAGAGAAGCCACTGCAATGAGAAGCCCGCGCACTGCAGTGAAGAGTAGCCCCCGCTTGCCGCAACTAGAGAAAGCCTGCATGCAGCAATGAAGACTCAACGCAGCCAAAAGTAAAAAAACCAAAAAAAAACCCCAAAACCCTAACACAGGCGTCCCCAACCCCTGGGGAACTGGGCCACACAGCAGGTGGTGAGCAGTGGGCCAGCAAGTGAAGCTTCATCTACTGCTCCCCATCATTCCCATTACTGTCTGAACCATCCCCCGCATCGCTTGCATTACCGCCTGAACAATCCGCCCCCCATTCATGGAAAAATTGTCTTGCACGAAACCGGTCCCTGGTGCCAAAAACGTTGGAGACCGCTGCCCTAACATATCAATAAGTACATTCAGTTAAATGATCTCAAGACACCAATTAAAACACAGAAACTGGTGCAGTGGATTAAAAACATGACCCAGCCTTATTTATGCTGTCTACAAGAATCTCACTTCAACTATAACAATATAAGCAGCTTGAAAATAAAAGGATAGAAAAAGATATATGATGCAAACAATCAAAGGAAAGAATGAGTGGCTTTATTAATATTAGATAGAGTAGATTTCAGGGCAAAGAAAATTACCAGAGACAGGGGGCATTATGGTAACCCTTACCAGTTCATTTTGTGAAGCTAGTGAAGTCAGTATACCAAAACCAGGCACAGTAGAAAAAAACAACCAAACAAAAATAAGCCTGCAGACCAATATCCCTTATGAATATTGATTCAAAGATTCTTAAAAAAATACTAGCAAATAGAATTTAGCAATACATGAAAATAATTCTATACCATGACCAAGGTGGGTTATTCCAGAGCTGCAAGTCTGGTTCAATA